CCGGCCTCCGCCCCCCCCCCGCTTCACCCCGACGAGCGCGAATTAAATGTGAAAACTCGCCTCCGGCCTTTTTTTCTCTCCATCTCTCTCCTCAACAGAGGTTTATTGTTAAATTCGCGCTCAGCTACGGCTTGCTCGCTCGGCGATTTTATCTCCGAGCTCCTGCTCTCTTTCTAACTCGCGAACGTACGTAACCTCCGCCTCTCTGTCTGTCTTTTTCACGCTGTTTTTCCCTCTCCTTTTTCTATTCCTTTCCTTTTTGGTTTTTTACCTGGGAAGGTACGTCGATGTTGCAGCGTCGTTGTTGTCGTTGTTCTTCTCGCCGTTCTTGTCGATTCCGTTCCTTTTTTCCATACCAGTTCCGCTTTCGAACGAATCTATTCACTCGCGGTTAGGTCAATTCAATTTCGTCTCGAAATTTCATCGTTGCTCCGTGATTACGCGAAATTATAAGCGCAGAATTACATTGCCCGAGAATGTTACTTCACGTTAATTGTTCGTTAAATGTTCTATTTTATACGGAACAAAGAGATAATTGAATTAATAGAGGTAATAAGCGAGCAATAAGGACAGAATATCGCGGAGCTGTTTGAATTAATAATTATGCGCAAGCTGGTTCCAAAGTGATTGGAAAATCATAGTCGATCCGTGGTTTCGTCCTTGCTTTCGTCTCGCTGCTAACGTAATTCGCACCGGAAGGCAAAGAAGATCGCACGAAGCCGGAACTCAGCTCGCGGTAAGATCTTTCGCATAAAATACGAAGTCCCGCGGGTGCAGGTCTTCCTGAAATATCGAGTATATATTCCACAGACGACCGTGACTCTGAAGATTTTCTCGGTATTTAGCGATGTTTCGAATAACGAAGAAATAAAATAATCATAGTTACTTGATGCTTGCGCGTTTTGGCCATCTGTACGATTTGCTTTTACATGGCCCTCTTTTTATCGCTATTCATTCTCCGTTTTGTTTTAAACTATATTTTTATTGGACATTTTTATCTGATATATATTCTCAAAGAGTCGAAGATTAATCCATAACGAGCTGCGTTTAAATGATAGAAGTTTAATAAGTAACAAGGTAATCACAGCTGATCATTTTTCAGCGAATACAATTCTATTACGGATTTCTATACAAAATGCTAGCTCTCCGAAATAGCAGATAGTTCGTCTACAATGTTAACTGGAACGGATGTACTTACCGAATATAAACACTTTACAGGCCTAAAGTCTTGCCTAAAGTTTCTCGAATTTCGAGACACGATGAAAAAAAAAAAAGAACGCGGAAGATTCATCCATTTCGGGTAGAGGCAAAACGAGTGCAATTTCGTAGATTAAAAATCCCAGGTTTGGCAAATGCGCGCGATTCTTACCGATTTCAATGAACCTTCGCGTTAATCCCGCGCGTAATTACGGCCACGCGATTGTTAGACGGCAATTGAATTGCGAACGGACAAACAATAAGCAAATTATATTTCCGAAAGTACCCTCGTTTAGAAAATTAACCGCGGTAGAAAAAAGGAAAGAGAGAGAGAGAGAAGAAAATGAGAAGAGAGAAACACGGCTGAAAACGATCGTTCAGCGAAATCCTTGGTAATTCGCGTCTTTAGACGGGGAAAACAAAACAAGAAGCAAAGAGGAGGGAAAGAAAGAAAGAGAAGGAGGCTCGAGAACTTGTATTTTCCTACAGCTTTTTATCGACCTCATTCTATACCGCTGAAAATGAAAAAAAAGGAAGAGATGTGGAGGGACGAGGGAAAGGGAGAAGGGGGAAAGCGTGGGGAGGTTCTTTTCGAACTCGACTTTATTCTGCGTCATTCAGCCGCTTCCGAGTTGCCGCTGTTTCACTTCCGGCCGATGATCGTACAGCGGATGAACATTTTGTCCCTTGCAATTCATAAGCTGAAAACTGCGTGGTAGACGGAAGGCGGAAGAGCACTCTTTATCCGTTTTGTTTCGCGAAACTATCAGCCACTTATCCAGCGCAAGTAGGCTAGTGGCGCGGGAAAAATTACAGACAATACCGTGCTTAACGTTTCGATGGAAAAACCGGTATCATTTATTCAAACAGGAATACCTAATCAGTCATAAACCTTGAATACATTATTGTTTCGATTCGTGATCGGACAGAAATCGAATACATATTCAGGCAAGATTAGATCATTGTTCATTTGATGAACGATTGACGACTCACAATGATTATAAGGGTCGAATATTTAATTAATCTGTCTAAAGTACAAATATTTCTTTGGTTTATAAGTGAAAATTATTAAAGTTTGTTGTAAGAAAAATCTTTAATAAATCGCATTAAATTAAACCCCATCCCTGTATATCAGATCTTGCATTTATTTTGTTAATCAATTATTATAAATGGGAAGCGAGTAGGATAATTGTGTCAGGATAGCGTAACGATACAGTGGAATTTACCAGTTAATTTTTATATTTATCCTGTGATATTGTTCCAATATTTAAATGACTAAAATAATTCTCCAAGCTAAAAACAATCCTCTTACGAATACAATATAGCCTTGTAAGTTATAAAATATATGTGTGTTGAGAAATGCTTATTCAATTCACTAATTAAACACAAACAGAATTGTAAATTCTTAAGGATCGTCTCTATTTTTCATTAATTAAACATTTTCATAAAACAATTTCACCCTTGCTACAAATTTTAACCAAAACGTTTATCTTTTCCACGACGTATACCATTGCAATTGTTGGAGTTTGCGGACGAAATCTGAATCGTACCTTACATGCGACACGCGTACTACAGGTGGTGAAGTTTTATAAAGTGACGATCCCTCGCCGTAGTAAACTTGTCGGGCTTGTAGTAATCTCGTTAACGAAGTCTCTTCGGGTACCAGGACGGCTCTCATGCATCTCATCTTATCTCGTTGTCTTCTCCATTCGTCTCCTCGTTATCGTCGAATCGCTCGTAAATCGAGCGTGCTCGTAGAGGCCTCGTTCAGGTTGTTCGCTTCGGGAGAATCGATATCGCTCTCTCGTGTCTGTGGGATGCCAGGCTCGACTTGATCTTACAAACCGGAGCCCTCGAGATCGCTCTTTGACTTCGTAGTCTCTCAAATCCTCTCTCTTCCTTATCAGATCGCGTCACCGGGTGAAAGCCGAACGAATGGACCGATCGTTCTCTGGTTCGATCGTCTGCCGGACACTGCGAAAAATAGTCTTACTTCGATACCCTATATCCGGCTTTTCCGAGTTCGTGTCTTTTAATGTAAAAATCCTTGTTTTCTTCTCTTGTCGTGATTAGAATTGTTTCGATTCTTTTCCCGCCATTTAATGCAATAGTAATGAGGCTTTATGATGTACGAGAAAATATATAACGCAATGAATTTTATTACAAATTTCCAAAAATGTATTGTTGTAAGTTTAGGAACTTTCTTTGAAGAATCGTGAATTGGACAGTTTGATCACATTTTGCATGGTTTATACGAAATTATAATTATCTTATTCAGTCTATATAATCTTTCTTTATTATTCCTTTTTTTATTGCTCTTTTTTCTTCTCCTCTCTGCGTGTAACACATTTTCAC